CATCCTCTCTCTACCAATTATCGGCGGATGAAGTGTATTGGTTTTTAGAAGACATGGCCGATTATGACAATTGGTGTTGGAATCATTCTCCAAACAACCAAGGTTGGGAAGAGAATTCTAACTTTTTAGAGCCATGGGATGACACTCAACCTCAGCAAGCGGAGTCTTCTCTAGACCTTGAAGTCCTTGTCGCCTAATTTTCGGAGGAGACAAGACTCCGCATAGAGAAGTTAGAGAGAATGGAGGCGCTTGACCAACTTCATGAGGAAATGAAGACAAATCTAGAGGAGTTGTTTAGGTTGAAGCAGCTTCCAGATGAATCTACTAATGCCATGAATAAAGAAACACAAGAGGAGGATTGGGAGTTATTTGAAGATGACTTTTTGAGAGAGGAGGAGACTCAAGGATTGGTTAGTGAAGAATTTCAAGAAGATGTCAATGAGTTTCAATCTCTCGAGATCCCCATTGTCGTGCCACCCCCGGTTGAGAAACATCACATTTATGAAGACCCAATGTGGCCGGCAACTCCCCCACCATCTAGTGCGCCATTCTTCCATGCCAACCAAGCGCATATGCCGGCACCGAGTCGAGTTGAGCAAATGAGCCGAAAACTGTCAAATCTCGCCAAGCTTGAGGGTGTCAAGAATCAAGACCCGTACGTTGTGTTGTATGACACGTACTATGGGCGAAAGCCACTCTTTGATGAGTTGGCTCGGCATAGGAATAATTGAGCCTAAAGACGCAATTTATGGAGGAGGGCCCCGCCCCAACCCGAGTTTATGCCATCTTACCCGGTGCATCATCGCCAACCATACTAGGAGGCGAGATTGTCTCGCCTCCCCGGTATGTGTTCTTATTCCCTTGTTATTAATTTTAAAGATTGTTTGATATTGAGTTTGGGGGTGAGACACTTTGTGGTTGATTTTAGTGGATTTTGGACATTACTTGTGAGTTGGTTGTTATGACTTGTCTCCATTGAGTTGTGCTTTTTTGGTCATGTTTTTACTCGCTTTTCTTTTAGGTTGTTTGAATAAATTGTGAGTTTTGTTGAGATGAAATGACTAGATAATAATGATGAGTATAATCACTTGATGCTTTCTTAGGTATTTTGAAATGTATTTCATTGAGATTTCTGTGTGCTTGACTCGCATTGATTGAAATTCACTCTTGATTCTCTACTTTTGAGCACCATGAATCATGATCACTTGATCTTTTGAGCATTAGGAGAACATTTATGTGCATTAGGTAGACTTTGATATCTCATGAACACTAGAACCCATTTGAGTGAAACCTGAGGCGAAATTGTTGGTTTAGTATCATTGGAGAGAATATTAAGGCATTTTATTCGGATCGATTGAGCCTTTGAAGCTAACCCTTGAAAAGAAAATTCATCATTTGTTTACCCCCTTTGAGCCATATTGCTTATTTCGTTCATCACCCATGTTTGTACATCCAAACCACCAAATGCATTCTCACTTCCTAAACCCATCACTACTAGGCATGATTGCATTAAACGCTAAGATTGATAGCAAGGATGGGTTATGTTTGGGAAATCATTAGTGGATTGGCTTGTGTTGTTTTTTATTCTAAAAAAAAAAAACGAAAAAAAGAAAAAAAAGGAGAAGAAAAAAAATAATAATAAGAGTTAATCGGATGAGAAATTGAGTTACCATTTCCATTTCTTTACAACATTGAGGACAATGTTGATTTTGAGTTTGGGGGTGTGGTCTTTATTTCTCAAATTTTTGTGGTTTCATGAGTTGTGACACATGCCTAGGGTGATTTGAGCCTAAAAATTCTAATCTCATCCACCTTTTACCCTAGCCATACATTACAACCCTCAAAAGTCCTTTTGATCTTCAATGACAAGTGAACCTTTATTAGTGGAGAGTGACACGAAAAATGGGCCTATGGTAGTTCTTATTAAGATATCACTCATAGTCTCCTTGGCACATAGGTCTATCCAGATTTTATTTGGTTGATTGAGATTGATTGTGCACACTTACACTTTGAGAGTCTTGAGTGGAGTGAAATTGATGCTTGATGTTGAAATTCTGGATAATCCCATGTTGTCCCGAATAAGGCTACCCAAGAGGGAGGGTGAATTGGGTTTTGAATATTTTTCTAGAGTTAATACGATTATTCAAAGATTAAAACTAAATATAGACAATTAATTGAACAAGGTACTTTTATCAAACACTTGGTGTACAGAAAATTATGTAAGTTAATGTAATAGCACAACCACTTGATGTACACAGGATGGACTAATCTAATATCATAAAAAGAGTTCAATAAACTTATCACGACGAGTTAAAACAATCAATGTCAACAATCAAATTTAAAGTACGGAAATTAAAGAGATAGAGTTAGAGAGATGCAAACGAGATTTATAGTGGTTCGACAAATAAATTTGCCTACATCCACTGTCGCCAAGATATTCTGCCTCTCGACCTCTTTCACTATTCGATCGACTTTCCGGCACGATCACTCCTCTTACAAGAAGGTGAATCTTTCTACCCGAGGCTTCGCCTAACTTCTTACACAATGTCGATTTTCCACGGAGATCGACCAACCAAGTAACCCAATACCAAAATAATGATTATGAGTAATGAAGCACTTAGTTTTACTCTCCTAACAATGGTTTTACACAATTTGAAATCACTAGGAGATGATGAACTCACACTATCACAAGATAAGTCAAGGTAGGCTCAATTATGTGTGAGAGAGTTAAGGATTTAGAGAAGATGATGATTATGTAGACACAATGGAGAACTCTCTTTTTGATTTTTTTGAAATTTTGAATTCGTTCTCTGTTTTTCACTAAGATGACTGTTGAGAAAAAAAAACTTTTCTCTATTTAACTTCTCTTTCCAACGGTCATATTTTTGCCCGTTTACCCAGTACCGGTCGACCGGAGCGGTTGACCGGTTGAGACAAATTTGAATTCGAGCTGTTCAACATTCTTATTGAGTGACTGTTGAACAGAACCGGTCGACCGGAGCTGTTGACCGGTTGATGCATCACCGGTCGACCGGTGCATTTAGCCTTCTCTGTCACCGGACGACATAGGTCGACCGGTTGACACTTAATTTGCCTCAAATCTTCACACATTTGTACTTTTAGGCCAAATGTCATTATGCACTAAGTTTAGTCTCATTTTTAAAGAATAATGTGAGTGTGTGCATGAGCCTAAATAAGAATTAATCATGATAGTATGAAGTCAAAATCAAATACAAGACTAAGGAGATATTAAAAACCTATTAGTACTTGTCCAGCTTGATTTTGTTTGCTTGCTCTTGATCTTTGTTATTTTAGCACTCCAAGCCTTGAATTCCTTCTTCAATTTGCATTTGTCAATCTTGAATGTATTTGCATTGTATTCCGCAAAATACTTCTTGAGTTGATTTATAACATTAATTACGCTAAATACACAACTCAAAATAGAATCATTAGAAACATAATTACATTGTGTTTGTGATAATCAAAACATGAGAATATTCAACCTTGAGCCAACAATCTCCCCCTTTTTGATGATGACAAACACTTGATTTGAATGCGTTTGCTGTGTTAGTAATTAATTAATACATTAGTAACTAATTAATAATGAGATATTTAAATAATAAAATAAAAACATATTTTTTATAATTATTTTTAACATATCACTGCTTATACTTAAACGCCCTAAAAAATAAAAATAGAGTCATTTTCACACACAGATATATATATTAGAATTTTCTTCAATCTGATATTAGATTAGAGTAGTATATGTATATTTTTTTAAAAATATATATATTTTTTTCGGTGTGTATATTTTTTCTTAAAATATATATAATATAAAGAGACATTTATAATTTATCTAAACACCTATATACATATTTTAAAAAAAAAACTATACATATACTAAAAAAATATACATGTATCTTTTTAATGTAAGGAGTTAGAGACTTTACCTCTATATATATATATATATACACACCGAAAATTCATACCAATCAAATCAAATCGTTTTCAAAAACAGCTTTGAAATACACGAAAAGTGGTTCTGAAAACGGAACCAAACGGCCTATAATTTTTCCCTTTTTCTCAGACACATGAAATTAATTGCATGCAGCAATACCAACGTAGTATTCTATTACATTACTTATTTTATAAATTTAAATTTTTAATTTGAATTGAGATATGATATTTTATAAAAAAAAATTTACTATAATAAAAAAAATTAAATATGACATTTAAGAATTTTTTACTGTAAAAATTTAAAATTAAAAACTTAAATCAGTGAAATAAACGAATTCTATATATCTGAAACAAAAATCCGTTAAACAGAAACAAAAACTAATTAAACATATAAAACCAAGTACCGCCATGCACGTGCTTGTGAATGAATATCTATCTCCTAACATTCGCCCGATTAGTTTAATGATTCGAGTTTTTAATTTGAGTTAAAATGTAATTTTATGTGAGAATTTTTTATTATAATAAAAAAATTAAATGTAACTATTTATGAAAACTTTCTAATATAAAAAAACTCAAATTCTAAACTCAAATAAACAAAATGAACGGCCTTAATTCTCTTTCAGATGACATCACTATCTTCAACAGTATACAATGCAGGAATAATATTTTATAGAATACCGGTAATATCAAAAAGTGCATGCACGTACGGATAAACCATCACAATCTCGAATTATTTATTACGGGAGAAGCAAAAGCCAAGAACTTGGAATCACTTTCCAAAACCGCCATTTGCTGTTCTTCCAAGGTCAAAAACGCTTCAATCTCTTTACTTCCTTGCTTGTCGACCAACACAATAAGATTCCTAAACTCAGCCCCGACTTTCCCATGGGCGCTAACCCAAACCGGCTTTCCCCAACCGAAATCAATCTCATTAAAGAAACACTTCCAATTCGTGAAGGCGAAAATGTCCGGCTTCTCCGATTCCAAAGAGAGCATGGCTTCGAGCTGGTTTACAAACTCCGAAACCGGCTCAAACCCGTCTTCGCCAACCATCGTCTCCAAGTACTCTTCGTCAAACTCATTCATTATCTCCTTTGTCAAGGACACGAGCTCCCGCAGCCCGGTCTCGGTCTCCGCGGCCGGGTTGGTGGCGACCGCGGCCCACCAGAAGAGGTTTCCGGTGCAATTCTCGAGCGACCGGGACTTCATCCGCGGCCTCATATTAACCGCATGGGCCGCGATGGAGGTCCTCGGCGAGCCCGAGATCGCCCACGAGGCCGACATCGCGTGCTTCCATATGAAGCACGAGACGGCCTCGTTCCGCGACGGGGACGGGACCTTGTCGCTCCTCGCCAGCGCTACTAAGGTGTCGATTGCTTTCGCGTCGAAGGAGAATCTCCTCGTGACGTAGTTGCTCTTCTTGAACCATAACTGGTCCATGAGAGAGAGAGCATTCTGAGGAAGGTACTTCAATGGCGGGAATAACGTCGCGGGTTTGGAGTGATCCGGAGGTATTATTTTGTTGCGAGAGTCGGCGAAAATGGCGGCCCAAGTGCTGAGAAAATGGCTGAGAGTTGCTCCGTCGGATTTCTTGTGGCACACGGAAGTTCCGAGCGCTATTCCACCGCAAGAAAAGACGTTCACTTGAATGGAAATCTGAGGATTTGTGACTTCATCTTTCTCCTTGCAAAAGGGATGAAAAGGGACGAACTTGTTGAGAGATTCCGTTTCCTTTTTTAGCTCCAAATACTCAGACATTCGGCAGTTTACTCTGGCTTCCAAGTAAGGAACTCCGGCGTCGAAATCGGCGATGTAGAGGTTGCTTTTGGTCCTTCCTGAAAATGGGTAGAATAGAGTTAGGGTTTCTGATAAGGATTTCTTAAAGTTTATCAAAGTTTCTGAGAGATTGAAGTTATTGGGATCGGTAATGGGGTAGAAGAGAAGAACTTCCGGGTAAGTTATGGGAGTGAGTTGGTCGAAAAGAGAGAGTTTGTGGGGTTTTAGAAGGTGGAGATTTGAGCTAGAAGGTTTGATAATTTCTCTTGAAAAAATGGTCACCTCCATGTTTATAATGAAGAAGATCGATCACTGAAACTAATAAACAAATTAGATCTACTTTTATTTGGTTGCTTTGGGCAATAGAGAAGAAGAAGGCACAAATTGGTGGGTTTTGTAGAAGAAGATCAGCGTTAATATTTAAAGCGTTTAGGCCAAGAGAGTAAATGCTCATGAAACTGTCAACCATTAACGTTGATTATAGTTGTTTGGGCACTTATAATATCTACCAAGTGGGTCTGAGTTTTTCTGTTCGTCCATAACCATTTAATTCTCGATGTCACTTTCTGCAAGTTTGCACATTGTTTAATTTCTTAGAAAAAAAATGGGTCCTACTATTACATGCTCATAGGCATTTTTGGTACATTTTTTTTCTAAAAATATAATTTATTTACTGTGTGCCATTTTGGCATTTCTCCCGTTTGAGAAACTGCTCTAACATTGCCAGTCACACGCAAGAGATGTATATTAGGTATTTGAATTAAAGTGATACAGGTAGAACGGAATTGAGTATAGTAAATGAATATATATTCACGGTACTCGGCTAGTTTTTGTTTGCGTGCCAAACGAAATCTACCTAATAATTTATTATAAGGTATAGGCCCATGGCTAGAGTCTCGTGCCTTGTCGGATAGATCGTTCACAAAAATTGACACAAGTCAAATGTTGCATGTGTTAGTTCAAGTCATAATTGTAGGAATGGGGTAGCACATGCTATACCAAGGTTATCATTTTATTTTGCCCACTTGCTTGGAAAAATGTTCCTCGGTTTCCAAATTTAAGCTTGTAGGTGACCCAATTAATTTGGGTGCTAAAGAAAGAACAAATATATATCTAGAGTACATTGATTGAGATTTACCTTCTTTTAGTTATGGTATTAGATATCACCGGTATATATAAGATACTAAGTGAAAATTTTTGGATTAATAATTTTTCACAAAGGTTATCCACATGATGTCAACTGGGATCATTAGTCGATTTAGATGCAACTATACTAGCCAGACCATAATATGAGCATGTGAGGTAACTTTACCGGCTATGCCAATTGCCAACATGCACTCTTCACAAGTTCAAATTACTCCACATAGCAACTACCACAAGGTCAAGGCCTATGATTACATTCGTTAAGAGATAATTGTAGGGTCATTCTAAGTTATACATGCTTCTCTTATCTTATACTTATTAGATTGTGAATTTATCTCAGATCGCTAAGTCACTAAACTACTTGAATATTTATACGTTGTTTCGGGCTCTTCTCTCTTTAAGCTAGCTTTTAGAGATGAGTTTTACCAAAATCACATTTAACATGGTATCAAAGCTCACTTCTTTTAAAAAACCCCATATTAAAAATAAGTGAAAAAACTAGGACACGCTAGACGGAGAGTTTCGAATTTTATTATTTTATGGTCTTTTTTTAGTAACATATTGTTATTTATGAATTTATAACGGTGGATTTTGAATTGACCTTTGTTATTTTAAATTTTTAAAATCGGATACATTAATGTTCGTCTTTAGAAATTAAGAAAAGAAGATGGAAAAATATTAATCCGTAAGAAAAGAAGATGGACTACTATACGTCTGTCTTTAAAAATCTAGGTACCTCACATCGCTGAAACTTTTTATTGTTTTTATATCTTCATAACCCACTTTGATTGGATTTCCTCCTCAATAATATGATTTGGGAACTAAGGCTTTATTATTTCATGATTTGTGATTGTAGATTTTTGTTTCGTAATTGCTTTGGATGTTTCTCTGCTTCAAGGTAATATTTTACTAAGAATCAAATAGCTACTCAGTACACTTTATGCGAGCTACAATTTGCTAGCACCAAAATTATTTTTTTAAGAATATCCTATGATATTTCCCACGTTCAATACGAGATGGCATGATCTGGTGGTGTTCAGATTTTCTGTCTAATTTTTAGCGTCTCAATTAGTATCTAACAAATAAAATCATACAACATCATTTTATGACAAGCACAAAAGAGTTAGTTAAAAAGCAGTTTAAATTTTTTATATGATATGGCATAATATAATTGGTTGGACATTAATTAAGATACTAAAATTGGACAATTTGAGTCCAATCTGGCGCTTCAATGGCCTCAACAAACTGGTGGTAGAAATATTTTGAATGTTGTTGTTCTCCCATATCTTGGGTATTGACGGTGGTGCTTTAGAAGCTTTTGGTTTTTATTTTAGTTGATAGATTTTACATTTTCACTTGGAAGAGCTTTGAAATTGCAATTTTTTACTGCATTTTTTCCTTAGACTATTGTTATTTGCTATTTTTGGATGGCATATTTGAATAGCTTTTCATGTAGACCTAATAATTACTGGAACATTATTTGTGCAACAGCAGAGAAGTTGGACTCATTTATTAGAACTATGTTTCTTAGAGCTGCCTACACTTTTTTTCTTCATTTGGGTGTTTTTTTTCCCCTTTTAATAAGATTCCATTATTCTCTCACTTTTTCGCTGGGTGATCTATTATAGTTTTCCATATGACTGGATGTAGAGTACTCTTGCCTCTACTATCATAAAAAGATGTCCTAATGCTGCTTGGACACTCAAGCTTAATTTTGGATCTTCTTGTCTATGAAAGGAAGATATAATCTTGACTTTTATTTCCATCATTAATGAAATTTACCAAAAAATATCTGTTGGTTCTTTATTCTTTCTCTGTCTAGGTTCATTAAAGGCTTCTCTCTCTTTAGATAGAATTTTCATTTAGCTTGATAAGAATTTTGATTTTGTAGTTTGCTTCCTCCAACAAATAGTTGTTGATGATTCAGCTTTCCATATACATTGTTATTAACCTTAAAATATTTTATGGAACATTCATGATTTTGATTTTTGTTTGCACAGATACGACTAGTAAGAACACTGGAGAAGAAAATCAGACCTTGTGAGTCCAATATATAAATGCAAAGGTTGTGAGGTTTGGCTCTTAGCTATTTATGCTTGCAAATGATTCCTGAATATGCTGATAACGTGATCCGGGTTCTCTGTAGGAATGTTGCAGGAACAATTTGAAGTGCCTTTTCTGTTCTTGAAAATCTTTAATTGTGCTAAGATGTTGTCATTGCAGCTGAAAGATCTAATGCTGCAGTTTTTAGTTAAAGAAAGACCAGTACTAATGAAACTATTGTTTTTCCTTGAGTTATTATGAAAAATCACATGTATATTTCCTATGATTTTAAAGTTTTATTTGTTCCTTGTGATCGGCGCTTATAGTTAAATTTGTATAATTATTTGTTGATGATTTAACATATCTATTGACGTTGGGTCTCTCTTTCCATTGATTAGCAAAGTGTGTTCCAAAGTTGCATCAAAATGCACTCTCTTGGCTCTTTTTTTTTTTTTCTTTTTTTTTTTCTTACTAAAAGTTGTAATAGCAAACACTCCTTGTATAACTTCATTTTTGTTTTTGTTTTTAATGTATTAGTAAGAGTCATCCGTATTACAATTATGTGATGTGAACAATATAAATGCAATGTGTAAATTTTTTTGATCTTATATGCTAATTATGATATTGTTGTTGTAGATTTCTTTATGATTTTGTGCTAACTTTTTTTGGTTTTACTTTTTATTTTTTTCATACTTCTAAAATAACTGCTAAATTTATAGTTGCTAGATTCATATTTATTCATGCTCATGCTTTTATTTTCTAAAAAAAAAAAAAGGAATAGGCATATAATAGCGGAGAAATTAGATTGTAGTTATTCAACAGTATTTAACATCGGCCAACAAAACGTCTTCTCTAACTATTTTTAACATCGGTTATGTAATTGATGGCTTTGAATATCTTTGGCAACGGTTCTCGACTGATATCTTTAAACATATTTAACAATGGTTTTTTACCGTAGTTAAAAATATTGATTTTTATTAACACCTTATACAACGTTAGTATAAAAACCGTTGTTAAAAAAATCTTTAACAACAGTTTTCGACCGATATTAATAATAAATTTTGTAGTAGTGTGTCGCTTCTCTCTTGTATTTACTCTCTGGTGAAAATATGGTTGTAAAATATGAGATTTCCGTGATCATTGAACTTAAGGAAATTCGAGAATTTGGTGCGGCACTTGGATGGGAGTTTGTGTATAGTTATTAGATTTGTCTACGAAATTGGTGTTTTTTGGAGGTCATGGAATGGGCGGAAGTAAGCTTGGTGGACGTCTGGTTCATGGATTCAGAATTATTTTTGTTTTACGTTTGTTTTTTGTGAGAGAAAAACACGGTAGGAAACTATAAATCATGATTCAAAATCAGGAATGAATACAAGAAACAAACATCTGTTATTTTACCAATTCATCCCAAAAGCTTAAGCTATTGGGATGAATTGGTAAAATAACATGGTATCAGAGCGGGAGGTCCTGAGTTCAAACCCCCGTAATTGCATTCTTTATCCCCATTTAAAATTGTCATATGTTGGGTCTTTAATATATCTCGGGCTTAAATATTCACGTGTTGGGCTTTCTAATTAATTTACCCACACGATTGTCAATTGTCCAGCCCACGCGTGAGGGAGAGTGTTAAAGTATAAAATTATTGTTGACCCACCTCCTAATAGCTTAAGCTTTTGGGATGGATTGGTAAACTAACACATCCCCTAAGGCTGAAGTATTTGTTACAGAGTTATGTGGGATAAAAAGAGGGTTGAAAGGCTGAAGTGTTTGTTACTGAGTTTTGTAAGATACAAAGAGTTGAAACAATCCTGATGTTGATCATCACGTATGTTGATTAACTGTAAGCTAAAGACGGGTACCTCGAGTCCACTTGCACGTTTTGTGCAATCGATTTGGATGACAATGGTGACAATCGATTTAAGAACTTAGATGCCTATACTAGGTCTGTTGAGGATATAAAGATTAGTTTTTATAAGAATATATAGGATTCTAGTAGACTTTTTGCTGTTACTAATACAACAATTTGTAAATTTAACAACTCTTAATAGACACCGGTTTCGTATAAATCGAACAAGACACGGAGATTTTCGTGTTTTATATAAACAATTTGTTAGATTTGTTTTTTTTTTTTAAATTTAAATATTTCGCTTGAATTTATATATATATATATATATATATATTGCATATTTAAGTATTTTATGTTTGCTAGATTTATATTATTTGTATATTGATGATGAACTATATGAACAAGAGAATTTAGGTAAATA